ATTTTGGATAGAATTTTAGGGATAGTATTGGGTTATTGGATAGGGGAGTATTACGGTAATTTTAAAAATTTGTGAAAAAACTCTTAGTTTACTAATAACTAAGACCCTAACATAAAAATGACAAAAACACCCCCACCACCCAGTGTCAGATTCCGCCCACCACCGTCGGAATCTGACCGGAAAATTTCGTCACGGCACAGACCAGTCGATCTGTGCCGTAACACTTCGTTATGGCCTTTTCCGGCCAGATCTATGGTGGATCTGGCCGGAAAAGGCCAGATCTACGGTCTGTTATGGCCGTCGACGGCCGGAAAAGGCCAAACGAGGGCCATCTTTGGCCGTCAGCGACGGCCAAAGATGTGGCCGTCGTTTTCGGTCAACGACGGCCATTTCTTTGGCCGTCGCTGACGGCCAATCAGCCTTTTCCGGCCAGATCCGTGGTGGATTTGGCCGGAAAAGGCCACAGCGTGAACTTCCGGCCATTTCTGGTCGGAAGTTAGGCCTTTGTACAATTCCGGCTATCACCGACGGTGGTTGCCGGAATCTGACAAGTTGGGTTGATGGGTTGTTTTTGTTAATTTTAAACTTTTTTTCAGGGGGTATTTAGTAAAATAATAACCTTATGGGTTAAAATTTAATTAAAAAAATAGGTTAATATTTCTGGAATAGTGTACCAAACATTATTTGGAAGATAGGATCAGAATAGGGATAAAAATATTATGCCAAACATGCGAAAAGTTGTCTCCGAGACCTTAGAGATAATATAAGAGTATATATATATACGGTATTTTTATACAATATTTCTCATACAATCTGATAAACAAAAGATGATTGGATAAAAATTATTTTTTAATTGAAAATCAGTCAATCATATTTATCATATCAAGTTGTATAAAAAACGCAAAGCTATAGAAAAAATATATGTCGACCCAAACGCCTCAATCACAAAAAAAAAAAAATACTAAATCCCCTGTTATTACTAAGTGTTAGTGTAAGTTTCTCCCTTGTTCAATCATTAATAACTAGATTCATTCTTTGGCAAAGATCACTATAAGTCAAGCTTAGAAGTTTATCAATTCTTTATTATCGTTATATTGGAGAACTAAATGAAAATTATATTTCTTTATCGTCAATCAATCACTATTCATAACTTCGGATTCCATTTTATAATCAATCCAACCACATTCACCTTATTTATTTTCTTATCGATGAATAGATATCTTTACTTATTTACTTAGGTGTCTCGTATGAGTTGTATTTATAGAAAAAATGATTCTTGTTAGAATTTATAACGATGGGTTAATGAATATTTATTATATTGCCTCTCTACCTTTTATATTGATACAAAAAAAATTACGGCAAAAGGATTTTTATTATTACTATAATTATAGAGAGATTTTTGTTATTTATTATACCTCGGAGATTAGGTGCGTTTGTTTAGTTATTGGAGTATTTTTTCAAATGTTATTATTAGATAAAGTTGAGTGATTATTATAAGGTAAAATTTAAAAATTAACAAAAAACCCCATAAGTTTGCTAATTTAACTAAACACTTCAATATATCAATTTTGTAAAATGACAAAAACCCCACATCCACCCACAGTTGCCAGATTCCGATCACCATTGCTGGAATTTGGCATTACGATGCACAACCGGCCGGATCTGGCTATTCTCACCGATTTAAGCCTCTTCTGACCAGCTCCATCATGGAGCGATGGCCAAAGTATGGTTATCGTTGACAACCAAATCGGTGCATTACTGGTTATTTCTGGTGGTAGTGTGTGTTTGACATATTCTGACCAGCACCGACGATGGTTGCCAGAATCTGACAACTATGGATATATGAGAGTGTCAATTTATAATTTTTGTTGTTGGAGGTGTTTTTGTCAATTACAAACTTATAGGGTTTAATAGTTTCTTAATTTAGAATCTAATTTTCAAAATAGGAAAGCAAATGCGCATTGTATTTGGAATAAGAACAAAATAGTGGTGAGATAATCAAAATTTTAAAGAGGTGTTGATATAATATTTTTAAATAGTTTTCAAAGCTAAAACGAAATTGGTTTAAAAAATTTTCAAAAGTACATTTCTATTTCCTATACTGTAATTTAAAAAAAATATTTATTTTTAATTGAATGGACGATAATTAAAAAATATTGAGAATCAAGACTTTGTTTTATTTATCTCAACGTATTCATTTAAATTAAAGGAATCTATTATCGATTTAATTTTTTTATTTAATATTTTAGACGGGTTTTAATATTATTAAGAAATTTTAATAACCTTATAATTATATAAACTTTTAAAATTTAAACTAAATCTTAGAAATCAAAATGTAATTATTAAACAAAAAAAAAAAAAAAAAGGCAAAAAAGTTTCTCAATAATTTCCAATGAAATTGCCACCGCGCTTTAGTGAAGGTGCGAAAACTGAATAATTTGATATTTAATAGTAGGATATGATGGCTGCATGATGTTAATGATAGCTACCTGGTGGTGTCACAAAGTGTCCTCGGTTCATTGAATTAGCAATATCTTAAATCCAAAAAAAAAATATAATATTACAACATAAACGAGTAGGAAATTGTCACTAAAGAAAACTTTGGGCGAGAAAAAGTAATTTACTTAAAAAAAGAAAAAAAAAATTCTCCTCGGAGTCATAGTATAGTACGAAAATAACAAAATTAAAATACCACGAATATTCCAACCTTAATCCAAGGGATTCAACACTCGTCGTAACCTCGTACTTTAACAAAAAGAAATTTTATACGACTTTATTAAAATTAATTATTTTGTACAAAATTCGACAAATGGAGGGATTAAGAGTTAACGTACGAATGACGTGGTACCTTGTGTTATTATCCACGTGTTCGCTTACAACATTTGGAGAGAGATAATTCACGTGTTAGTTATTTGACGAAACAAACTATGGGCGTGCGCTATTTTAACAACCGAGTAGTTAAGATCTAAATCTAACCTCTTTCAAGATTTGTTGCTTCACCGTATGAATCAAACCAAATCCTACGCTAAGACAGGATCACATTTCTACCTAATTTTTTTTTTTTTATTTAATTTATCCATTTTATAATTATATTATTTTAATTAATTATTTTTTTATAATGTGGCGTTTATGCATATTAATCTCATCACATGTTAAATAGATAATTGGGTTGGGTTCAAGTTAGGTTAGGCTAGACGAAGTTGAGCCTAATGGGTAAAGTCAGTGGGCCTAATGGACCAAGCCAGCGGGTTAACGGGCCTTGTAGCTAGCTGACCCATTCCATCTAGTCGTTGGGCTTGAGCCTAAATATAACGACGTATCGAAGCTATTGAAACAAAGATTGATTGAATATTGTTAAACCCGATCTAATTTACCAGCGGCCCTCATAGAATATTGTTATGCCTGAAATGAAAAAGTAGGGCTGACGCGAAGTCTTATCAACATAGGGTAGTCAAAACTTTGAAAGGTTCTGCAACTGTTGAGGTGCAGTCACGTCGCATAATGACATAAGTTGCATGTCTCTGTCAGTGCAGTGGGTGAGTGACAAGTTAGCGGATGGTTGAAAATCGTTCACGTGTCCAATCCCTGCATAAGTCGAGGAAATCAATCGGGCATGTGAGCAATGGGATGCAGAGAAGGATTTGCATGGTACCCACCAACTTACAGATTTAATAATCATTACCTTGATTTATCTCACTATAAATAGAGACATTCCCTCTCATTTGCGGGATGAGCTAATTTTACTCTAGAATAGCTTACTCTCTCTCTCTCTCTTGTATTCTCTAAGCTGTAAATCAACTCGCTGAATGCGACCTGCCTTACTTTCATTAATACAATATCAGTGGACGTAGGATTCAGTTTTGAGCATTCGAACGACTTTAAACATTGTCTTTTACCTTTTATTAAATTCAGTACTCTCATATCACGTATGACTTCTAATTCTCTTTACATTTTTCACGTGCGAATAGTTGGTGTCAAAATCAAGCATCAACAAATATATTTAAAAAAAAAAATTCCATTTAATATTAATTAGGTTTTTTATTTACATACACTTTTTCCAATTTTAAATTTGAAACCCTTTTTTTTTTTTTTTAATTTATGCATGTGTGATTAATTTCTCCAAAATTTTAGTAATTTATTTTTATCAAACAAACAAATATTTGAATTAATAAATAAAACAAAATGTTCCCATTTTTTATTTTTCCATACCTGTAATTTTCATTCGTCCGCAGACCTTACGAGCATTGATGGCTAGCTAGGTCCGACCCAGCCCACTGTCAAGTCTGAGCCTGACTGTACTTTGGCATGCCAACCAGGGGCTAGGCCCATCCATCCAAATTTATTGGTAACCGTTCAAAGAATGTAACAGAATATGAAAAAGAGATATTGCTATATATAGTCTTTTTTAATTAATCTCAATTCTTAATTCTCAAAATATCAAAGTTTTGTTTAAAAGGCAGATTTAACTATAAAATCACGTTATTTAACTTAATTGTCTTTAATAAAACTAATAAAGATAAAAATAGTCAAAATACGCTAGACTACCAAGTTTAGTACTAACTAACATGCTTTAATTAAACTATTAAATCATACAGTTAAATGTTGGACTCGAATTAGACTATTAAGTTTAAAATAGTCTAGCATTATATTTTAAAAATATATCATTTAATTTTTTTATAAAGGGTATAATTGATAAATCAGTAAACTTGTTGGCTAAATTTGTACCAGTACATTTTTTAAAATATGATTATTGAGTGGACTATATATGCTCAGGCCCCTGGAAAAGAGTAGCATTTATCAGAGGTTTTCTTAATTAACAAAAATCAACTTCCAAGTTTATGAATTAACAAAAAACCCCTTTGTTAATAAGGTGTTACACCTGTTACCACCTGATGGGGGTATATTGTTATTATCCTTTTTTTTTTTTCTTTTTATCATTGTATTTTTTAATTTGATTAAGCATTAAATTTTGTCACTAAATTCTCAAAAATGAATTAATATTTGAAACTAGGAACAAAAATCACTTTAATAAATTATTCTTATCACCGTCAGATCCATAATGGAAAGTTGGAAACAACACTTAAAGCTAATATTACAGGATAATCAAAAACAAATTGACAAACTACCCATCATCACGCAAGAGCGTAAGCTGCTTATAAAGCACAACAATAGGGGCTCTGGCACGGCATGCTTGCCGTGCACGGTACCTGCAATTTCCTTGCACTCTCTGTTAACAGACTCAGACCGCCAACTCTGCTCGAGAAATCAAGATGCCGTCAGTGTCTGCATAGAGCCATTCCCCATCACAGATCCTTGTTCCACCAATGGTTATCGGCACATGTTTCTCGCCAATCCCCTTCTTGTTGGCTTTCATCGGATGAGAGGCGAGAGCTCTCACGCCGATATCACAACCATTGATCTCATCGACATCTCTGATACAGCCGTTCACAACTATTCCTGCCCATCCGTTGTTCTGTGCTTGTACAACAGGGTTGCCACCCAGTATAGCACACCTCAGACTCCCACCCCCATCAACGACAAGAACTCTGCCGTTGCCTTTCTCCTCAAGAAACTCACGAATCAAAACATTGTCTTCAAAAACCTTGAGAGTAACTACTGGTCCGGAAAAGACTTGGCGCCGACCATAAATCTGAAAAAGAGGCTGAAGAGCTCGAAGTTCACCACTCACTATTAGCTGTGGGTTTGCATCACAAACTTCAGCAGTTGTAACTAATGCCATTTATCGAAGCACCTTCAGGGGAAAAAAAAAGCATCAAAATTCAATCTGCTAATAGGCATTGGCAAAGCACACTAAAAAAAGGAGAATTTGATATTAAACATAATCAATAAGTCATTCAACATCTTTCAAATGTTGAGCCAAAACATGAAAGCCGTAAAATAAAATACTGACAGTTTCTGAAAAACAATAAACAACCCTGGAATCCAATACAGGAATTCCTATTCAAATGGCCAAGATGAAAACTGGACGTTTGCAGTCTTCTTGGCAGACATTGCAAAAGACCATGTATCTGAATCATTAAAAGGGATATAGCAAATGTCAGTATTGCACTTCCTAATAAAGCATATAACGCCAAACATTTTCCATGACATAATTTTACACTAAACAAAATCAAAAACATTGTGAAATTGTCAAACAGTGTCATACATTATCCATCTGAGAAATATGCATCATTAACCACTACAGGGATTGGTCTAATTGTAATAAACATGGTAAATTATGATGAAAACTCGAAAATATTTTCCACTACAACATGAAGGGAAAGACAGTCGAAATAAGTCAGACAAGCTAGAAAATATGCAATTTGAACATGATGGTGAACATCTAAAAGATTTTTAACTGAAATAGAAACTTTTCAAAAAAGAAGTCTAGCATAAAAAATTACCAAGAACTGAACTAAGAAACTCTTAAGTCTTAATAACTTTATTTCTACTATTTCAAATCTGGTAGTATATAAAAATATTAAAACCTGATGATTTGTTTCATTTATTGAAGGTAGTACCCAATTTCAATGTTATAAACCTGATATTTCTCGAAACTTTTACCAAAAAAATTTCGAAAATTTTCTATCCAAACAAAAGTTTTCCAGCAAAAATTCTGGAAGAGTGTGAAATGGCAAGCTAACATCTCAATGTTATCAGTGCGACTTTTCATCAAATCGTTCCAGGAAAGTATTCCAACCAAATAACAATTTCAAAAAAATTCCAGCTTAAATTTTCTGTATTGTTGTTTGGATGGAAAACTTTCCAAAAGTGTGCCATGACAGCTTACATTTCCCTGCTACAAGTGTGACGGTTCACTAAAACTTAAACGTATTTTCTAAAATTTTCCATCCAAACAGCAATTTTCCAGAAAAAATCTCAATTCAAACAGCTATTTATTTATCACTCAAAAACATACAAACTCAAATCCAAATAACGAAATAATTCAATCAATCAGCAATAAAAATTAAAATTCATCACAGGTCAGCAATCAGGATATGAAGAACGAATATATTTCACATCATCATGGAAGGCAAATCAATCGGAAATAAGAGAGAGATTACGGAGGTGATCGGACGGTGGTGATTGAATCTACCTTAGATCGAAGAGCGAACCAGAGGGAACTTGAGAGAGTGAATTGAAGATGCAGTGCGGTGCGTACTGTTGGAGGAGGTGGAGAAGAGATTGGATTTATGAATTTAAGAAACAATTTGCAGAAGGAACAAAAGTGGATCTGTCTGAGTTTCGCTGTAAAGCGCGTGAAAAATCTTTTTTTTTTTTTTAAACGTGATTGATGTCAGGCTGTCAGCATTAAAAAGATAAAATTAAATAAATTACACTAATTGTAATCAAATAATAAAGTTCGAGACTTCATAAATAACATAAATCCCAACCACTCGTAGGTGCCTACGGTATGAATTCTTGGATGTATTTATCCGATTGTTAATTCTAGAGTTCTAAGGAATATAAATTACATTTTATTTTTTTTATGATGAGTTTTCTCAATCCCTGAATTGTAATCAAATAGTAAAGGGTGCGTTTGATTTAGTATTTTGGATAGAATTTTAGGGATAGTATTGGGTTATTGGATAGGGGAGTATTACGAGGTAAATTTTAAAAATTTGTGAAAAAACTCTTAGGTTTACTAATTTAACTAAAGACCCTAACATATAAAATGACAAAAACACCCCCACCACCTGCAGTGTCAGATTCCGGCCACCACCGTCGGAATCTGACCGGAAAATTTCGTCACGGCACAGACCAGTCGGATCTGTGCCGTAACACTTCGTTATGGCCTTTTCCGGCCAGATCTATGGTGGATCTGGCCGGAAAAGGCCAGATCTACGGTCTGTTATGGCCGTCGACGGCCGGAAAAGGCCAAACGAGGGCCATCTTTGGCCGTCAGCGACGGCCAAAGATGTGGCCGTCGTTTTCGGTCAACGACGGCCATTTCTTTGGCCGTCGCTGACGGCCAGATCTAGCCTTTTCCGGCCAGATCCGTGGTGGATTTGGCCGGAAAAGGCCACAGCGGTGAACTTCCGGCCATTTCTGGTCGGAAGTTAGGCCGTTTGTACAGATTCCGGCTATCACCGACGGTGGTTGCCGGAATCTGACAAGTTGGGTTGATGGGGTGTTTTTGTTAATTTTTAAACTTTTTTTCAGGGGGTATTTAGTAAAATTAATAACCTTATGGGGTTAAAATGTAATTTAAAAAAATAGGGTAATATTTCTGGAATAGTGTACCAAACATTATTTGGAGAATAGGATTCAGAATAGGGATAAAAATATTATGCCAAACATGCAGAAAGTTGTCTCCGAGACCTTAGAGATAATATAAGAGTAATATTATATATACGGTATTTTTATACAATATTTCTCATACAATCTGATATAACAAAAGATGATTGGATAAAAATTTATTTTTAATTGAAAATCAGTCAATCATATTTTATCATATCAAGTTGTATAAAAAAACGCAAAGCTATAGAAAAAATATATAAGTCGACCCAAACGCCTCAATCACAAAAAAAAAAAAAAATACATAAATCCCCTGTTATTACTAAGTGTTAGTGTAAGTTTCTCCCAACTGTTCAATCATTTAATAACTAGATTCATTCTTTGGCAAAGATCACTATAAGTCAAGCTTAGAAGTTTATCAATTCTTTTTATTATCGTTATATTGGAGAACTAAATGAAAAATTATATTTCTTTATCGTCAATCTAATCACTATTCATAACTTCGGATTCCATTTTATAATCAATCCAACCATCATTCACCTTATTTATTTTTCTTATCGATGAATAGATATCTTTACTTATATGACTTAGGTGTCTCGTATGAGTTGTATTTATAGAAAAAATGATTCGTGTTAGAATTTATAACATGATGGGTTAATGAATATTTATTATATTGCCTCTCTACCTTTTATATTGATACAAAAAAAATTAACGGCAAAAGGATTTTTATTATTACTATAATTATAGAGAGATTTTTGTTATTTAATTATACCTCGGGAGATTAGGTGCGTTTGTTTAGTTATTTTGAGTAATATTTTTCAAATGTTATTATTAGATAAAGTTGAGTGATTATTATAAGGTAAAATTTAAAAATTAACAAAAAAACCCCATAAGTTTGCTAATTTAACTAAACACTTCAATATATACAAATTTTGTAAAATGACAAAAACACCCACATCCACCCACAGTTGCCAGATTCCGATCACCATTGCTGGAATTTGGCATTACGATGCACAACCGGCCGGATCTGGCTAGTCGTGCACCGATTTAGCCTCTTCTGACCAGCTCCATCATGGAGCGATGGCCAAAGATATGGTTATCGTTGACAACCAAATCGGTGCATTACTGGTTAGTTCTGGCTGGTAGTGCGTTGTTGTGACATATTCTGACCAGCACCGACGATGGTTGCCAGAATCTGACAACTATGGATATATGAGAGTGTCAATTTATAATTTTGTTGTTGGAGGTGTTTTTGTCAATTAACAAACTTATAGGGTTTAAAATAGTTTCTTAATTTAGAATCTAATTTTCAAAATAGGAAAGCAAATGCGCATTTGTATTTGGAATAAGAACAAAATAGTGGTGAGATAATCAAATAATTTAAAGAGGTGGTGATATAATATTTTTAAATAGTTTTCAAAGCTAAAACAGAAATTGGTTTAAAAAATTTTCAAAAGTACATTTCTATTTCCTATACTGTAATTTAAAAAAAAAAATTATTTATTTTTAATTGAATGGAAACGATAATTAAAAAATATTGAGAATCAAGACTTTGTTTTATTTATCTCAACGTATTCATTTAATATTAAAGGAATCTATTATCGATATTAATTTTTTTATTTAATATATTTAGACGGGTTTTAATATTATTAAGAAATTTTTTAATAACCTTATAAATTATATAAACTTTTAAAATTTAAACTAAATCTTAGAAATCAAAATGTAATTATTAAACAAAAAAAAAAAAAAAAGGCAAAAAAGTTTCTCAATAATTTCCCAATGAAATTGCCCACGCGCTTTAGTGGAAGGTGAGAAACATGAATATAATGCAATGTGATATTTAATACTAGGATATGATGGGCTGCTGCATGATGTTAATGATGCTACCTGGGTGGTGTCACAGTGACCTCAGTTCATTGAATTAGCAAATATCTTAAATACAAATATCTTAATATTACACATAAAATAATAAAATAAATTTAATAAATAAATAATATGATATAAATATTATAAAGAGTAATGCCTTAGAAAGTTACCATTCCTACCTCCATCCTTATCCCAAATTACAACCCTAAAAATATTGTAAAACCCTTTAAAAAAAAAAAAGCTCCAAATTAAAAATATAATTTCCCAAAATCAAAGGAATTAGAATCAGAATCGATCGCCTCCTTGGATTTGGAATTGCAATCGAAACTGGCTGATTCTGATTCCTAGAATATAGAAATTAGAACCTAAAACATAGGTTCCGGTTCTAGTTCTAGTTCTGGGTATCCAGGATAATTTCAATTACCCCTAACTTTTTTAAAAATAACAAATACCCCTCAAAAGATACAAATACACTCACAATAGTGTACAAAAATTGCAGTTCAGTCTCAATTCCTACCAAGTACCCAAACCTCGATGAAACCAAAGTCGAAACCGCATGATACCAGTTTTGGTTTTTGAGAACTGGAACGGACCCTATAAGGCCGGTGTTAGTGCATAACTTCTCCATATCTAGAATTTGTGAGGTACTCCCTCTCTGACTAGACCCCATTTTTTCAGGTACTTGATCCACTCGGGTTTTTCTTTTAAGTTGGAAGAATAATAAGGTGAGAAAAAAAAAAAAAGGTAACAACTCATGAAATTATCATTTTTAATTTTCTTCTTATTTTTAGATTAACAGAATCTAAATTCACGTGGGCTTTTGATTATTTAATTGGGCCGAACACCTAAAGGCCTACGCTTTTTGCTCACCTGCTTGGCAGTTTATGCTTCGTTGTTTAGATTGTGATCTGCTTTCTATCTTTTACCTTTTACCTTTTTTTTTTTTTTTTTTCCTTTTTTTTCTTTTTAATTTTTCCATAAAATATAATATATTTAATGCATAGAAATGTCAGACAAGTGCATTAGATTCATAGGTGTCAATAAGCTAAGTAACTTGATTGATAGGTTGATTGGACCGTGATCTCTACTCCCATACAGTTAAACTTAAAGTTGAGCCTAAACTCAAACCAACTATATATCATTTTTTAAAATCCGACCCGATGTAAGACCCGAAAAATGATCGGTTTACGGATCAATCGGTCCAATCCATTGAATCATTTACGCCAACAATAAAATAATTTAAAAAAATTTTAATTGGTCTCTTAAATTTTAGTATACTACCAAAATACCCATAACATCACAAATGAGGCGCTGAAATTTTAATTTTTTTCATAGACGCTCCAAATAATTGTTATTCGTTGGTCCCTAAACTTTTAAACTATTGCAAAATACCCTCAAAAAATTAGTAATCCCTACAAGTTTGAAAAATACAGAAAACCCCCCTAAACTTGACCGAAGAGCCTGCCAATCCCAGCCCGACTGGTCCGATCCAAGTTTTAAAACAGAGATAATATTTGTCGTTTGAGCTCAATCTTACATTGATTTATTTTTTTTTTTTTTTTTTTTAGCTTCACGCAAACATCCTTCATCCAAACTGCGTCCACTTAGTTATAAAGTTATTATTATGGCTTTGCTTACTTCCGAAACAGGGCGTTTCGGATGGATTACAAAACTACCCTTTTACGACACTCTTAGCGTCTTTAAAGAAAGCAAGCATACTCCTTAGGGCTATAAATTTAAGTTTCAAAACATCACTAGAGGAAACAAGAGTGCAAATACAAGCTCATCACAATCTGTTTCTCCAAACAAAAATTTGGGCTCCTCAAGTAAAACAGGTAAACAGTCTTTAAAAAGTTGCATATAAATAAAGATAAGGTAACGACAACAATGATGAAAGGGAATTACTTATAGCTCTGTAGTGTGGAATTTATTGGAGGAAGGTGAGGGTATGGCGATATATTTCATCACCCCAGGTCGACTGCTTGAGTTCTTAGGTCAACTTGTGGATGGTTTTCATGTCTACCACTTCCTTGAGAGTTCCCTTCTCAGATGATCCCACATTTGAACAAGAAATTGTCGACGACCAGTCGAACCAAGGTGATAACTTCAAACCTTCCTCTCCGGCATCTGCTTTTCTC